CATAGACAAGCAGCAGTGCAGGTGGCTAATAATACAACCAAAGTTCTTAGACGATACCACTATGTCCAGGGTGGGCAGTTCATCCCTGCTGCTCTACAGATAGTCAAGTACAAAATTCTTGCACAGTTCCTGTATGGTATTGCGATTTGGATAAACGGTTTCAATCCCTCCGTTGAAAGTGTTCTGTCAAACTCACTGCGAATCCTATTCGCTATGCCAAGATGCGTCTCTTCAGCTGCCTTGCGTTTGGAGGCTGGCCGTCAATCGGTGGAATGTCAAGCCTGGTTGCATGCATTTCAATTCTGGTTGAAGGTGGTATATGCTCCCACAACCAGTGGATATTTACACTATTTACGAAAAGATGTCTTTACAAGCTCATGGCACAAGAGATTTACTGACAAATTACATCTCTTAGGCTTCTCTATGGACTTCTTCCTGAGTCAGCCTTACGCCAACATCAAGACAATGCTTAAGTAACACATTAAAGACATAGATCTCCAGTACTCACTAGCAGGTGCAGACAGGACCTGCTCACCAACGTACTTTGGTATAAATTTTAACTTTCCCAAGTTACCAAATTATCTATATAAAATCAATGTACCAAGGTATCGTTTTGTCTTCTCAAGGGCTAGGTTCAATTGCTTTCCCTCAGCCTTATTAAAAGGGCGCTTTAATATGTAGAAAGGATATGCCCCTGTGGGGAAGAAACAGTTGAGTCCCTGGCACACACCATTCTAGAATGTAGTTTATATAAGTCTGAACATACCCGTTACCTCTACCCAATAATGTGTAAATACATTAGTATACCTCCCACAGACTACCTTAAGTTTCTGCTGTCCGAAGAGAACCAATTAATATCACAGTCAGTGGCTAAGTTTCTGTTCTCAGTTTTAAGAATCCGTAAAGTGTTGAGACAGATGCATGATTCAATTTTTATATTCCTGTTATCTTCTAATATCTAACTTATTTTGTATATTTTATGTAATGTTTTTATCCTTGTATTTTTGGGTCTATGACCGTACAATAAACTCAAGTCAAGCTAGAAGGCAGGGCCTGGGATCTACTGACCGTACAATAAACTCAAGTCAAGTCAAGCTAGAAGGCAGGACACAAAGTTTGTGCTCTGCCACTGAGTTTCGGTTTCGCTCCACTGTGTTTGACTGTAGTCCACTCTGATGTTTTCCTCAAATACCGAATTTGTATGGGAAGCACTTCTAATTATTAAGAGGAAATCCCACCTCTATTAGACTGTAAGGTTGATGTGGATCAAATGAAAAGGAGGGCTGGCAGTGAAGTTGGCATATTAACAAAATGCCCCTTGTCCCTAAATGAGAACATGTGAAACCATCTTATATTTCATGTGTTGCAGCTGAGTGAGGAACCTGTCAAAAGTCATTCCACCACGACTTCCCACATTTGAGGCCACTGACCATTATTGGCTGGGGCTAATGGGAACTGGAGTCCAACTACAGGTGGAAGAGGGTCCCAGGTTCCCCACTCCAGGCTGAAAGCATGGTAGGAAAGCTTTATGTGTAGTGTGACAGCATGGGTGTCAAAAGTCCGGGCCCTTTTCAGCATCTGTGTTGGGCGGGGCGGCGAGAGGGGTGCGCGAACGGGGAAGGATAAAAAAGACGGCACGTTTTGCGGCCCCTTGGCAACCATCTTCGCCTCTTTGGGCATCCGTTTTTTTCCTCGACGAAGCGGCCGCCACCGTGGCATTTCCCTCGCCGTCCGGCAAGGGGCGCTGCGGCCTGGTGCTGAGGGAAGGCGCGAAGGGGGACGAGAAACTACAGGCCGCAGCCGCGACTGTGGCGGTTCTCGAGGGGGCGCCTATGGCGGGAGAGCGGGGCAAAGGGCCGACAAATTACATCGCGCGCCTTTCCGAATGGGCGGACGCGCACCTCACCCTTGTCCGGGTACGTCGCGGGAAACAGCCCTGAGAAAGGAAGAGAGGAAGGGACTCTTGTCACAGGCTGACGCCAAGGGCCCGCGGGTGGGTGGGGTGCCTGTCGGAGGAGACGCTGGGGCTGTGGGACGCCATGCCTGCCTTTAAGCTATTTGTTAGCGGCCAAATGATGATGGCGGCTGCCAGTCCCTCCCCCTTAGCAATATATAAATTAGCTGGGAACATGCAAGAGGGGGGAGGCATCGCAGCCACAATCATTAAGAGTGCCTTATTTCTGCCGAGGCTTTCTGCTTCTTTCTTGAAACGATCTCATTTAAAACTGCGTGGGTGTGGATTGTGGCGAGGAGACTGCCTTTTGTGTATGCTCAGAGGTGCCCTCTTGTTGCGGGGCCCAAGTCGGGTTTGAGCCTCGGCGTCAAAGCCGTTTTCTGTCTCAAACCTGTGACAAACCTGAGACGGTTTTGATGGTACAAGTGGCCAGCCCTGGATTAAATAATACGGAGTACCTTTAATGCCATACTGTATATTCTGAATTTCCCACCGATCGTCTCTAGCCTGCTGATAGGTTCCTTTGTTTACATACACCATATACCGTACTTCTGTGATTGATGGAAGGAGACAGGCATGCTTATTTCTCTGTGGTGAGTTTGGCTACACGGAAGCAAAAGTCCTGTGATCCAAAGGGATTATGATTTACAAATATGTCTTCAACAGTATCTTGGCATAGGGCATATTTTGCCATGCGGTGTACCTTGCAGCTGTTGGCATGATGATGAGATCTATGAAATTCTCATTGGCTGTATTTTTTTACTGTATTTTATAGCCTTCATGAGATCTAGTGTATTTTTAAAATGAGATTCATTTGGGTAGGAGTCCTTAGCTGATCAAAAGATTTTAAATTGATTAGTCAAGTAAACATTCTAACTTGGAAATTAGGATGGAGGTGCCTCAAAAACCATGTTCTTCATAGTTACATTTTAATGTGTCTTCACAATATTTGGCTTTAAAATTGATGCTAATGTGTGTAGAAACTTTGTAAAAAGTTAAATTCAAACTCTGCTTCTGCTGCATAAGATTGTAGATGTCATCCATAGATTTTGGGGAATGAAAAATTTATGACCCCCCCCCCACTTCTTGAAGGTCCCAAGGCTCTCTTTGGGTCCCATGCATTGTGGGGAAGCTATTGAGAGGATGCAGGACCAGAGAGGGGAATCTTTAATTTCCAAAATTGGCCAGAGGTGGTAGAATTGTTCCAATAGTGGAGATTTTTGGAAATGAAAAACTTCCCTGTGCCCCCCAACAGCTTCCACGCAACAAAAAGATACCTGGGATTTTAGGGGTGAGATGGAAGTGTTTATTTTCTGAGAAATCACTGCAGCAGATGACATCATACTTATATGGCACAACTTCTAGCAACAGGACATCCACTAGTGAATACATATGATAGTGAAAATGGAAACAGTAACTATGTCTTCAGACTAACAGCAATCATTTGCACATTTACTGGAAATAAGTACAGTACTATTGTATTAAATGGGCCTTATTCCTGCTTACCCATATTGAACATTGCAGCGTAATTAAATTGTTTCATGTTTAGATTTTCTAAACTCCTTTAGATTTTCATTTGTTGGAATACATTGCTTGTATTTGAAGCAGCAACATAATAAGATAAATTGGTGGCATGTTATTATATTGCCATAGGGGCTTTGTGGGATTTTGTGATAACCTAAAACAGAATTAAAATAGAAACAGAACCTAAAACAGAACTAAAATAGAAATTGACCAATTCTATGAAGACTTAAAACACCTTCTAGAACTGACGCGAAAGAAAGGTGTTCTTCTCATTCTAGGGGATTGGAATGCTAAAGTAGGGAGTCAAGAGATAAAAGGAACAACAGGTATATTTGGCCTTGGAGTTCAAAATGAAGCAGGGCAAAGGCTAATAGAGTTTTGTCAAGAGAACAAGCTGATCATCACAAACACTCCAACAACACAAGAGGCGACTCTACACATGGAAATCACCAGATGGGCAATACCGAAATCAGATTGATTATATTCTCTGCAGCCAAAGATGGAGAAGCTCTATACAGTCAGCAAAAACAAGACCTGGAGCTGATTGTGGCTCTGATCATCAGCTTCTCATAGCAAAATTCAAGCTTAAACTGAAGAGAGTAGGAAAAACCACTGGCCTACGCAGGTATAATCTAAACCAAATCCCTTATGAATACACAGTGGAAGTGAAGAACAGATTTAAGGAACTCGATTTGGTGGACAGAATGCCTGAAGAACTTTGGATAGAGGCTCATAACATTGTCCAGGAGGCAGCAACAAAAACCATCCCAAAGAAAAGGAAATGCAAGAAAGCAAAGTGGCTGCCCAACAAGGCCTTACAAATAGCAGAGAAGAGAAGGGAAACAAAATGCAAGGGAGATAGGGAAAGTTACAGAAAATTGAATGCAAACTTCCAAAGAATAGCAAGAAGAGACAAGAGAGCCTTCTTAAATGAACAATGTAAAGAAATAGAGGAAAATAACAGAAAAGGAAAAACCAGAGATCTGTTCAGGAAAACTGGAGATATTAAAGAAACATTTTGTGCAAAGATGAACATGATAAAGGACAAAAATAGGAAAAACCTAACAGAAGCAAAATACATCAAGAAGAGGTGGCATGAATACACAGAGCAATTATACAAGGAAGATTTGGATATCCCGGACAACCCAGATAGTGTGGTAGCTGACCTTGAGCCAGACATGGAGAGTGAAGTCAAGTGGGCGTTTTGTGGTTCCATTGTATACCTGGCCACAACGGCAAGGTATCCGGTATACTCCTACAGTGGTGAGGGGGTCCCTTCTGTCCTTTGCTGACCATAATATTTGTTTTGTAGTGGGCTTGAATTCTGAACCACAAAATGAAGTATCCACACCAGAATCAAAGAACATGAGAGACATTGCAGACTAAAACAACCAGAAAAATCGGCAGTAGCTGAACATGCCCTAAAACAAACTGGACATGAAATTCTATTTCAAAATACTGAAATACTGGACAACACCATCAATCATTATGTCAGACTGCACTGGGAAGCCACTGAAATCCACAAGCACCAACAGAACTTCAACAAAAAAGAGGAAAATTTGAAACTCAACAAAACTTGGCTTTTAGCTCTGAAAAATACAGCGTGCAAAAGGTCAATGACCTCTACCCAGCCACAAGGACCGGGGATCACTACACACAAAAGACCAGCTAATGACACCCATGAATCACAGTGACAGATAATCTCTTCTCATCACAACAATACACCCACAACAAGACACACTAATCACCCATCTCCTGAATAGGACGAAAGCCTATCTCACAGCCATAAATACTCCACTCCCAAACAAACTACACCAGAGCACAGAGTGCTGTCCTCTGAAGATGCCCGCCACAGAGACTGGCGAAACATTAGGAAGAACAACCTTCAGAACACGGCCAAAGAGCCCGAAAAAGCCACAACAACCATTAGGTCCCGGCCATGAAAGCCTTCGCGAATACAAAGGTTTCATCTATCTATCTGTATATGAGAAAGAACTCTTTAACACTCTCTTCCTGGTATTCACAGCTGCAGAGACTTTAAGAAAAGCCACCTGTGCACACCACTTCCCCTATATTTGGTTGAGTACAGGAATGGGTGCCTTGAGGAATAATTGCTGGAAGAATATCTTTTCATGGTTACATTATCTGGATAGTTCAGTGAGTTGGGTACCTGACTGCAGAGCCAGAAATCAGACGTTTGATACCCTTCTGAGTCTGCTGGGAGAAGAGTCAGCCTATGTCTCCATGAAAACAAAAAGGAAGGAAAAAAGAGGAAAAAAACTGGCATGTCTTTGTTTGCTTTCTTAAGTATTCAGTTTGCTGATATCTTGGTGGCTCATTTATTAAGCAACTTTACGATACTGAAAATTGAAACCAGAAGGAACCTTGGCAGCTTTGGCATCTGCAAGGCTTGATTTCAGTCTGTTTTCAGCAACTACACAGTCTGGGAATGGACTAGATGTGTGTACCAACCTGCACCAAAAAGGTACAAATTCATGATGGACTCAAAAAGGTGTGGGTTGGAGTGCCCTGACGGCAAAATGGGGGAAAATTGGTTTGCTTGTTATGTGGATGCTGGAAAACACAGCAAACCAACTGTTCCCACAATGCACCAAACAGTGGAATAAATGGATATGCTCTAACTGAGATGTTTAAATTGTGGCTTTACTTGTTCCACATCCCTTTCCCCATGAGTTTCCATGGTTCAGCAGGAATTCAGACCCAAGTCTCCTGAGTCCTTCCTTGCCCATTACTCTGTCCACTGCACCATATGGTCTGTCTGTGGCTACATATTTTTATTTTGTCCTTTTTTTCTTTGTGAAAAAGCTGTGTCTAGACTTTATTGAAATGAAATTAATGGGAATGTGACTTAGGAGATTTAGGAAATAATTTGTGATGTTATTTTCTACAGAATATCAGCACTGGAATGGCAGTAGCTGGAGTGATTTTACTGGCAAGGAGTGTTAAATTGGTAAGCTATGAGCTGATTGCAATAATGCTTAATCATCAACATTTTCATCTTAGAACTGCGCAGTCGTGTCCAACTCTTCGTGACCCCATGGACCAGAGCACGCCAGGCCCTCCTATCTTCCACTGCCTCCCGGAGTTGGGTCAGATTCATGTTGGTTGCTTCGGTGACACTGTCCAACCATCTCATCCTCTGTCGTCCCCTTCTCCTCTTGCCTTTACACTTTCCCAACATTAAGGTTTTTTCCAGGGAGTCCTCTCTTCTCATGAGATGGCCAAAGTATTGGAGCCTCAGCTTCAGGATCTGTCCTTCCAGTGAGCACTCAGGGTTGATTTCCTTTAGAATTGATAGGTTTGTTCTCCTTGCAGTCCAGGGGACTCTCAAGAGCCTCCTCCAGCACCACAATTCAAAGGCATCAATTCTTCGGCGGTCAGCTTTCTTTATGGTCCAGCTCTCACTTCCATACATCACTACAGGAAAAACCATAGCTTTGACTATTCAGACTTTTGTTGGCAAGGTGATATCTCTGCTTTTTAAGATGCTGTCAAAGTTTGTCATCGCTTTCCTCCCAAGAAGCAGGCATCTTTTAATTTCGTGGCTGCTGTCTCCATCTGCAGTGATTATGGAGCCCAAGAAAGTAAAATCTGTCACTGCCTCCATATCTTCCCCTTCTAGACCTCTTTTAAAGCTGTCCCAGTTGGTGGGCCTACTATGCAGTACCTTGTGGCAAAGAATTCTACAATTCATCTATGTGCTGCAAGAAGGAGCATTTCCTTTTGCTTCTCCTGAATCTCTGATCTTGCACTTTTATCCTCCATCACCACTTCCATTCCCTCATGTATTGCATCTTATTTATCCTAAACCTAGTGGAGGGTTTTCACATATTTTCTATCTATATGAATCGAGGGCTTTACAGATCTCCATATTCCTAATTTGAAATCGGTGCCATCCATCTTTTCTCACCATAAATGTTGCTTAATCTGAGAATTTTTATGTAAGAATCTGTGTATTTCCTGTATCTCCTGTGTAAATACAGCATGTCTTTCACTTTTAGACCTTGAAATGCCAAACTGAGTAAATTCCATAGGACTGTTTTATTCTGTTTATTTACAAAACCTTCAGATGTTACTTGCAAGGTCTTCTGTTTTGTGCAGAGGCCTTGGAAATTTGGCAAATAAATTAAATCCTGGTAGTCTAATCATCTTAGAGGCTAGATAATATATGAGTAGCTCATTCAAGGACCATTCTGGTGGGAAGTTCTAGTTATTCCCTTAGCTTTCCTTAAGTTCCTAGCAGTCTCCTTTATTTCCTCCCTACCCTCCTCTAGTCTTGCAGAGATGAACATCCATTCTCCATTATCAATCCTCATCCTCCATTTTTTCCAGTAATGGGTTGTAGTTATGGGTTCATACCTGAGAGAGGGAAATACAGTAAGGCTATAAGGCAGAATATCTGAAGGGCTATACAGTATCATACTTCTAGTGTATATGTAAAATATCTTAGATGTACATTAAAATGTAAAGTGTCAGTTTGACAAATGTGCTTACAAATATGTGTCAAACCGATTTTGATAGCCTTTAGTCAGATAAGAGAGGGAGATATCACAGATGGAGGTTTTCTCTAAGGCAAAAGTGAGGATATTCTTTCATCTCAAAGGTCAAATTTAAATCTTGGAGAAATTCCTGGGCCGTACTCCAGTGATGGAAGTGGCCAGAGACTAAAAGGATGGCATCAACAGTGCCAGCATGTATTGGCTTAAAGTTTTTACTGGTAGTAACTAAATTTAAGTGGGCAGGAGATCAGCCTTTTTGAAAAGGTAAACTACTCAAATCCAAATGAAATCAGAGTACGCAGCAAATAATAGTGTCATGTTGAAGGGCATGTGGACCTCTGGAGAGCTCCAGAAAGCTTGATTCAGCCTTGGGGTCTGAGTTTCTCGGTCCCAGTTCTAAGGCATGATTGCATTTATTAACTTAAATTATATGGCGCATCCCATCTTGGGGGCTTGAGGTGGATGACAATGAATGATATGTAAACGTGCTCCAAGCATTTTTAATGGATGTTGAAAAGTTCATTGAAAACTCATACTGTATGAGTTAAACTTTTACAGAGATCCACTCTGTTACTTATATTACATTTGTTTTCAAAATATTTTTCTTGCCTTTTCACTTTTTTTTCTTTTTCTCTTTTGAATGAACAGACAACCAAATTTACAAATGCTTTGGAAATACCATTAGAATTCGTAGAGAAGAATGTTAAGCTCCGGGGACGATTACAACGAGTGACTGAGCAAGGATTAGAAATCGAACATGTTCCTATTACTCTTCCAGTCATTTCATCTTTGCAGAGGAGATGTAAGTATGATGAAAGAGATGACTAAGGTCATGGCCCCAAAGTTAAAAAGTCATTAACCATTTGCAGACAATATATATTCTGCTCTCCATAGTCTGCCTGGACAGATTAGAATATTTTCGCAGTAGTGTTGGGGTATTTCAGAAGAATTTGAGCAACTCCTACCTTTGAAAATATGCCCTGAATGCTCAAGCTTGTAGTACGGGAACAAGTACTCATTGAAGATGTGGTTGAGCTTTTTTCAGGCCTGCACAAGGAGGTATGCTGTATCTCCTTACACAAAAGTGAGTAAATCAACAGGGTGATTGTGTAAGGGCAATCTAGGGATCGAAGAAACAGCAGAGTTGGTGCATAAAGCAAAGCAAAAGCAAAGCGTGCTGCTTATATACCGCTCCATAGTGCTTCAAGCACTCTCTGTGCGGTTTACAAGTTATTACATTTGTAATAGAAAAAATAGGACAAGTGGATTAAAAATAAAATCAAATAAAACATGTATGTGCTATATTGCTAACAGAAATCCATTGGAAATCAACCCCAACAGAGTAAAAAAAAGCAAAATAGAATGCCAGAATCCTTATTGCTAACAGAAATCCATTGGAAATCAAATAGAATGCCAGAATCCCGACAGCTTTAGAATGAGTTCTGCCTATATGAAAGGGCTTTGGGCGTCTATATTTCAAAGAATCCCCCATCACATTGCCAACTGTTTTAGAATAAGAGGAATTTCCAAAAGTCATTTTTAATAGGGCTTGAAGTCTGTTGTTCTGAGAAACACAATCTCACAGAATATGTGCTGGGACTGAGTGTAATTTCTCCAGTGGTTTTATAATTGTAGAACTGTAAGCATGTGGCAGGGGAGATACCATTACTGTATTGTAAAAGTGGTTTTCCCAGGGTAAGGCTCATCTATTGCACTTTGGATGTGCTGACCCCTATGATTTCCCCAAATGTGGGAAAATCAACTGCCTAAGTGGGGAACTGTGTTTGCAGTTTCTCCTGGTTTTTCTAGAATCAAAGGGACGTGGTGGCGCTGCAGGCTAAACCACAGAAGCCTGTGCTGCAAGGTCAGAAGACCAGCAGTCGTAAGATCGAATCCATGTGACGGAGTGAGCTCCCGTCGTTTGTCCCAGCTTCCGCCAACCTAGCGGTTTGAAAGCATGCAATTGCAAGTAGATAAATAGGGACCACTTCGGTGGGAAGGTAATAGCGTTCTGTGTCTAAGTCGCACTGGCCATGTGACCACAGAAGATTGTCTTCGGACAAACGCTGGCTCTACGGCTTGGAAACGGGGATGAGCACCGCCCCCTAGAGTCGAACACAACTGGACAAAAATTGTCAAGGGGAACCTTTACCTTTACCTAAGCATCTGAGCCTATCTTATGTTCTTCTATTACCTCTAAACGTACCTTGACATATGTTTAAAATACAGCTCCTTTTTAAATGATACATTGAGCCACGTTTTTACCTTAATTCTTCCACTAGTGAATGAGAAATGAGGAGTCTTGTCCTTTGAGGTGATTGCTTGGCGGCAAAAGTTCTGGACATGGTGTTTTGTGCTTTTTTTTTATCTGAGGACAAGCTCTGCTCAGAACTGTTGGACTGACGGAAATAGCTCAGTTGAAGGGTTTCCTTTGAGAGTAGCAGGTCAATCCTTTTTGTAGCATCCTAGCTGCAGAAATCTTCTAGATGGTAATAGGCTCATACATAATGAACAGGGACATGCCACAGGTCTGCTGTTTGTGCGCTCTAATGCTATAATGAAGTACATGCTTGTGTATTGTTTTTTGTTCTATACCCCACCCAGAACACATGCTCTGAACAAAGGTGAAGCATAACTTCCAGTTTTTTTAAGTTGATGAATCATTTTTTCTAGCTAAGGCAAAAAGATGATAGAAGCCGTAGAGAAGTTTGGCAGTGTTGCACATTTGCAGTGACATCATCTAAACCTCCTGTGGAGAAATAATTATAATCAGTCATCATCATCTTAGAACTGCAGAGCTGGAAAGGACCCTAATGGATCATTTAGTCCAGCCCCAGTCAAGGAAACACAGTGGAGACTCAAACTCCCAACCTCTGCTTCCCCAGCCAGGTACTTAAAGCACTGACCTGGTGATAGTGGAAGTACAGCCTCATCTGCAAGCATACTATGTCTAGGTCATAAAATTTAGTAAATACAGTGGTGCCCCGCATGACGATGATAATCTGTTCCGTTAAAATCACTGTACAGCAAAATCGTTGTCATGTGAAAAGTTTCCCCATTGGAATGCATTGAAAACTGGTTAATGCGTTCCAGTGGGGAAATTACCTCGTCGTCCAGCGAAGATTCTCCATAAGGCAGCCATTTTGTGAGCGCCGATCAGCTGTTTTTAATCACTGGCTTCCGAAGCAGGGGTCCGGAAAACAGTGGGAGACCATTTTTTGAAGCCAACAATCAATCATTTAGTCCAGCCCCTGTCAAGGAGGCACACTGGAGATTCAAACTCCCAACCTCTGCTTCCCCAGCCAGGTACTTAAAGCACTGAGGTATCAAATAACCTGGTGATAGTGGAAGTACAGCCTCATCTGCAAGCATACTATGTCTAGGTCATAAAATTTAGTAAATACAGTGGTGCCCCGCATGACGATGATAATCTGTTCCGTTAAAATCACTGTACAGCAAAATCGTTGTCATGTGAAAAGTTTCCCCATTGAAATGCATTGAAAACCGGTTAATGCGTTCCAATGGGGAAATTACCTCGTCGTCCAGCAAAGATTCTCCATAGGGCAGCCATTTTGTGAGCGCCGATCAGCTGTTTTTAATCGCTGTCTTCCGAAGCAGGGGTCCGGAAAACAGTGGGAGACCATTTTGTGAACCTGACAATCAGCTGTAAAGATTGTCGTTTTGCGATTAAACGGTCTGACGAAGTCATCGTCAAGCGGAATTCCCCCATTGAAATGCCTGTTTTGCAAATCGCTATAGCAATCACAAAAGGCATTGTCATGCGGTTTCGTCGTTCTGTGGGGTTGTCGTCATGCGGGGCACCACTGTAAATAAAAAAAAACCTAAGATCCTTGTCTGAAAACAACATAGTACTCCAGCTGTTGTGCTGCTGCTTCCATTGATTAAGTGAATAAGTGTTTCCAATGTTGTAATAAAACAAAATGCTATTATTTGTGTCTGCCTAGGGCATTCAGATGGTTTGTTGCTGGTCAGGCTTGCAGGTGTGGAGCTAACACCAGATGGGACTCGCTGGTTAAAAGAAGAGGTAAAACCCTCACAAATGATGTGGTTCCAAATTCTGGGAAGGAAGGATTCAGTGCTTCATTGCCTTGTGGTAGTAAATAAGGTAAATCAAAATGTTGTGGTGAGTGGACAATTTTTTGTGAAGCAGGATCCTGGCTGCAATGACATGGTCAAATATTGTGGGATTTGCTGTGGGTGTAAAATGAATGACTGTGGGTTTTGTTTTGATTTTCCCCCCTCTCCTTCTGATCACATGATGCAGACCAATTTTGAATCAGTCCGGTCCTTTTTGCTTCTGATGTGGAGTTTTTTCTCTCTCCTCCTGGAGGCTTCTTCTTTTTTCTAAATGGAAAGATTCAAACAGACTTTTCTCTAGGTGATCAGTTGTTTCCTTCGAAAGGAGGCAGGGGCATGATTATGGGTAGTGTTTTGGTGACATGCTAAACTAGCCATTATGTTTAGTGTTAGATCACTATATGGATATACTAGTTTAGTGCTAGATCACTTCTGCATAAACAAAAAGAAAAAATCAATATTAAATAGAAACAGCTCCAGAGAACTACAGCAGACGATTTGGTTTCTGCAGTATGTGTGTATATGTGTGTATATTCTGGACAGCTTTTGAAAACTGCTCTTTTTCCTTAGTGCCCTGCAACGCTTTAAACAGCCCACTTGCTTTACAATGAACATTAAAAAAGAAAGCTGGGGATGGGCAGAGGGTGAGATCAAAGGAAGAGGGCCAGTGGGCTGTGGCAATGATCAAACTGTACCAGATTTAGGGTCCAATGTGAACATTGGCAGTGAAACAATCTGCAGTCCCCATGTGATCACCTAATCTGAACAGAAGCGTAAAATAGGCTGCAGATCCAGACACAGCAAAATTGAATTGCTCCAATTCAGCTTGCCAGTGTAGTTGCAGTCTTTTAACATGTTTACTGAGATGTAATGGCTACTGGATTAACAGGGAGTGACTCTTAAGTAGCATTGCAGCATTCATTTCTGTTTGCTCAGCATTTGTAAAGTGATTTGTAAGCATTTGTAAGGTATTTGTAAGACATAATGTGGCTGTAATTTTTCTGCATAAGACAAGCACCTAAAACCTAAAACAAATGTCCTTTCTAAACAGGGCAGGTTTTCCAGCATCTGTCTGAATGAAGAGATCTTGAGGCAAGGGCTTGGCAGAACAGTGAATATAGAAGGACTGGTACATGAATCCCAGCTGTACTGGAAGCTTCACAAATGGCTGCTTCAAGCTGAATTGAAAGCTGTCAAGAAAAATAAAGGAATTTGGAAAGAAGCAACATTCATAGAGAAGCTTAAAGATAACATAAGCAGTAACAAATATCTGCAAAAGTTAAGACAGTTTGCAACCTGGCTAAGAATTCGCTTCTGAAATCAAAAGGTTTTGTTAGGAAGAAGCACACACCAGATGGACAAATATGCAGCATTATGTTTTCCTTCTGTCAGACTGATATTATAACAAACGCTCGGCCTTCTGTTAGTGGCTCCTGCCTGAAGGGGAGAAAGTGAAAACATCACAGAAAATACTGTTGGAGAATTGAGCTTCATATAGCGTATTTAGATATTGTTGTAATTTGAACATAAGCTTTAAAAAAAAGATCAGTTTAGTCTAGACTACAAAACTATCCTGCAGGAGGGAAAATGAGCATGCTCTGAGTGGAAGGTTTGGAAGTACTAGTGTAGTATCTTTTGTCTACATTGGTTAGCCTGTGTAGCTGCTGACTCACAGTAGTTAGTAGTGAACTAATTACCGTAGGGCACCAGGATGAGAGGAGATGGCCATTAAACTTACTTTACAAAACTGTAGAAAAAGTTACAGTTCTTAAGGCAGCTTATGTACTGTATACTTCTGCCTGCATTTGCTGTGGCAAGGTGGTGATATTTCTTCTGTTACTAGATGCTATATGTATCTCAGATTCCAAAATCTGTATTGTGGTGATACCCTTTATTAGATGAATCAAAAGGCCTTGAAAAGTGTGCAAGCTTTTGAAACCACTGCTCTCTTCCTTAGGCAATGTGTTAAAAAAGTTAAATGGAAGAATTGGGAGGTGAAGGCTTACTGCTGTTAATGAACTGCTGGATAGCTCAGCGGTTTATGCATCTGGTTTTGAGTTCAAATCCCCACTGTGCTTCATTGACAGGCTGGACTTGATGATCCGTGAATCCTTGTAATAATAGTCCTCGTAGTGTTCATGATGCCAAAATCTTAAAACATCATGGTTACAAAAATTTAACAGCAACCTTTTTACTCCAACCCATGATTGCTTTTCTATCAGCTAGCCTAATGGAGACACAATTACTTTGCCATGTTTAGAAATCCTTGGTTGCCATAAACTGAAAAGGTTGCAAGATTGTTTCTGAAAAATATTTTTGGCTGTATTCTAAGAATATTGCAAGTGTTTCATTTTATCTGTTGTACCATGCAAACATTGTAAACATCAAAGTGCAGCTGTTACAGCTCTTACTGTCTCATCCTTTTACAAATACCATTCCAAAAGAAATGAAATGATGCCTGTACAAATGTATACTCATACTTAGTGGTGATTTATACTCCTAATGCAGCAAAGTGGGCATGGGTTCTTAATATAAGCTGGTTTTAGATTATGATGGCAAGAAGAAATCCACTGAACTCTGGGAGCTAATTGTGTTCACTGGGTCACAGAAACAACCTACCATTTGCCTTGCAGCTCTTATAGATACCATAGATGCTGATTATGCATCCTGGATCTTCTTAATTTCAACATGTGAATTTCATAGGGATTAAAAACAGGTTGAGGAGGAAATGCGGACTAAACAGGTTGAGGAGGAAATGTACTTTATTTTGTTATTTATATATTATGTTGAAAAGCTTCAAACCTAAGTACACTTACTGAGAAGCACGTTCTGTGGAAATGTTGGACTTGTATTCAAGGCAACACACACTAGACTGAGGTGCAAGTTTATTGTTGCACAATATTTACTGTGTATTCCTTCTAAGATTAACTGACCTGGTCATAAGATCTGAGCACATGACTAATTTACTTTGGTGGAACATTATGTATTACCATTTGTTCTAAACCATTTATTTATATGCTAAACTGGAGTTTGGCATCTGGATATAAAGCTACTGTTTAAATACTCTTATCCCAACATCTAGAAATTAGCAGTAGTTCATAGAGAAATAAGACAATATTCCTATTTGAATATTTCAGTCCAGTATTAGAGGAATATGTATATCTTAAAAATTAACAATTAATAGTTGTTTAAGAGCTTTAACAATAAAGTTATTTATTGTGAGTCACTTCTACAAAATCAATAATTTCACATGTTACTTAGCTCTTTAACACAATAACAGCATATGGTATGCATGTGTGCCAAGCTTCTGTTGCTGACTGTAGCACTGCAGATGGACCTCTGTACACACATAAATTGTGTGATTGCCAGCAGTGGGTTGCTCTTCCTTCTGAGCTTTCCTGGCAGGATTGTATTTTAAATAAGTAAATTAAGAGCTAGTACCTTATTTCAAGCAGTTCTTTTACTATTCTTTGTTATTATGTGCCATTAAATCACTTCTGATGTACTCCAATCCTATGAATTAGTGACTTCTGAAAGGTCCTATCCTTAACAGCTCTGCTCAGGTCTTGTGAACAGCACCCTTGGATAACTCTGAAAATGCTGTGTTTCGTGCTGTGGGTCTTCCACTCCACTGATCCTAATAAAGAGCCACTGAAGCTCCTAAAGAGCCATACTGGTAAAAGTAGGGAAAGTATAGTAGCCCTGGTGGTAGGAGTTTGTGAGAGTGGTTGGAGAAGTGCTTTCAAATTACTACCCAAAAATACTTTGGCCACTTATCACTGTTGTCGTCCCTCTGCAAATTGATTGATTGTACAGAGTTACCATCATGATAAGCACTAGGTGCAAGAGTTGATTAAAATCTGTATCGAGTTTATTTTTATGGTAAATGCATGATAGAATAGTGTTTGTGTTGTAAAACCAAGTTTCTAGTGCCAATGACAAGGAGAAATGCTTGAAAACATGTCATTGAAGGGTTTAAAACCCTCAAGCATGTCCTGAAGAGAAAAAAACAGCTATATCAAAAGGACAGTAAAGAAGGAGACTGAAGTTCTCAAAATTATGTTTAGAGAATGTTTAATTAGGATTCAGTTTGTCCAATGCAGTTTATTTATTTTAAGTATTTTACCCTGCCTTTCTCCTTGAATAGGACCCAAGGAGGCTTACAACAATGAAAGACGGTACTTAACGTTGATATCAGTTGACTATTTATTGCCTTCAGAGGCAGGAAGATCTTATTTTCCTTATTTTAGCAATTCACTGTGTGCACAATATTTTTACAATGTGTAGCTCTTACCTTGACAGGTTGTGATCTGAAAGGTTGGGAAAGGAGGATTTCTGTATCTGTACAAAACTCTGCTTTGAGCATTTATATACAGAATTGATTCCCTACCACTCAAATCTTCAATTTCATGAAGAGTTAGAAATCTTCAATTTCATGAAGAGTTAGAAAAACCCACAGCTTAATTAAGTTAACTCTTATCAATTGCTTTAGATCAAGATCCCTCTTTTCAGCTGTTTTAAGCATGGCAGTGTATGTGAAGAATGAGATAAAATCTTTGCATTACAGCCAATATGTTGTTAAATGGAGTATCTTCAGGACTTTAACTTATATTTCTGAAAAATGCAGTTTCTTGTTGCCAAAGGTCTAGAACAAGCTGATCAAGTTACTTCTGCAGTTGGTAAGAAATCCTTACATTCCAATAAGTTACTTTTTTGCAAATCTGCTGTTTCAAAAGGGTGATAATGCCAGAAAATTCCACTGGGAATGCCTCACTTGTCTCTCTTGTTGCTGTTGTCGTTTATGAGGGGTGCAACTCTTCAACCATGTCACATCCAATTACCTTTGGATAAAGTTTCTTCGTCTGGGGCCCATGATGCTTTGCTATGAATTCACACTTACCCGGGTTGAATTCAATGACATCAATGGATTGTTTCTATGGTTTCAGGCAGTCCATTGCTGGACAGTGATGAAAAGGTGAAACTTAAGCTGGCTGCTCCTAGAGGTCACCATTCTTCCCCCCTCCTCTCCTCAGAGCTGGCTGGCAAAGAGGAATCAGAGTGATAATAGTTCCCCTTTTAGCAGCCTCTAGGATAAAGATTTGACACTTCAAAACATATACTATTGCTTAGATTCTTCAAGATTGCTATGTTTATTTAGAATATTTCTATACCACGTCTTGTTTACACAGGTCCTAACGTGGTCTGCTACAATGCCATAGATCCACTGAGACGAATGGCTGAGAAAATATAGTTCACGTCATTCATTCAACCAAGAGGTGGGTAACTTGTGCCTTCTGAGATGTTGGGCTGCAATCTCTATCATCCTTCCCCGCTGTCTACGTGGCTAGGGCTGATGGAAGTTGTAGTCCAGCAATTATCTGGAAGGTCACAAGTTGCCTTCCTGTTGTGGACAGATCAAGATGAGGACTGTTCTCCCTCTCCCCCATGCCTTTCTCCTCAGCCAGGCTTTCCTTTAAATGACTGGTTGACCGAAGGAATTATTGCACTCTGTTGTTCTACTTATGTTTTTAATATTGTTCTTATTTATAAGTTTTACTATATTTGTTTAATTATTTTTAATATTGCAATAATTTATTATTTTAGCTTTCAAGTTTGTTTCTTTTAATATTGTTGGTTGCCTTGGATGATTTTAGGAGAAAGGCAGCATATAAATATTTTAAATAAATAATACATAAATAAATGTGCAAAATGAGAATTTTTAGAAACCTGTTTCACAGGTTTGTTTACTGAGATGTTGTATGGGAAAGTATTATGAATGTTTTAAATATACAATTATAAAAATAGCTGTTATTATTCTTTTCATTATTATCATTATTAAATGAATCTCTTATAATGGATAGCGTAGCTTGATGCGGGTATGTCCGGTAATGCACTTTGCTCCCAGAGCTTTCATTTTCTATTGGATAAATCCCCTATGATTTCCTTGTCCTAAAGTGGCAGTTGAATAAACAATATACCCCAAACTTTCCTGGTTGTTTCTTATTGGAGGAGAATTTGAAATAGGTGAATGAAAAGCTGTTTAGTTCTCCCAGCAGACTTTGAACCAGCAAACAATAGAAGGCAGGTTGAATGGAATAGGAGGCAAGAATATGCTGGAATTCCTGGCACTGGATTTGCAAGAATCAGTCTTGGAGTCCTTAAAACGAAATGCAACTGCTATAGAAAGCAAAAGTTCTGTGGCATTCAAAACATGCCCTTTGCGACAGGAATACAGTGGTAAATCTGTTTCTTGACATTTTGCTAAGGGACACAGATACAACCTTTCAAGAGCCAGCCAAAGATATTTGTTGATTTTGGCTTTGAATATGTTTCTTTAATGACTGGTTCTGGTTGCTGTGTGACTGCCCTGGGACGTGTTCTATATCATCCTACGTGGCTTTACCGTGGAAAAGGTGCAAACTTATAATGTAACTAAAAATGATGACAATACTGTCTGACAAAAGGACATGAGGGTTTTCTTTGCCTCTTAAGAAACTTGTCTTGCTTATGGGGGATATATTCTTCCTACTTTTCTCTCCTCCTGCAGCTCAAGGGAGGGTGGCCACAGGATCTGAAGGACAGAGTCCTGGCTTATAAAATTAAGTCCTTCCAAGAGCTAGTCACTCTCAGCTTGTAGAGAAGTTTTCAGCAGAGGTAGCTGGACATGCAAACTGTGTGTGTTGTGCCAATAAGTCCATTCCTACTTAAGATGACCTGCCTTCTGTGGTCTGTGATATATGGGTGGGTTTTGCCAGTACTGCCCCGCACAATGAATTTTCAAAGCGGAGCAGGGATTTGAACCCACAGGTCTCCTGCATCCTAATCTGAAACTCTAGCTACTGCACCACACTGCCTGTCCTGCAAGCTGCATCTGCTGAACCATCATCTTCTATATAAGCAGTAAAGGCAACATATGCAGGTTAATACATACAGTTTTCTTTCTGCTTCCTTGTTCCTTGAAAATTCAGCTAATTTTTCTTTCCAGCTCTCTATCATTGGACATTCATTCTTCTCTCTTCCATTTCTTTGCAAAGGTTATCCTAGCTACTATTAACATATATCAAAATAAGTCTTGTGAGATTCTCTCTACATTATCTGGTAAGATTCCCAGTCTCTGGATCAATTGGAAATTTGATTTTTAAGTTTTTTCTTTTAAAATTTTGGCGCACTCCCTTAAAAATGATCCTTGAAACAACCATGTCAGTTAGGTTAGAATGACGGAGTGTGACTGGCCCAGGTCACCTAACGAACTTCATGATGGTGTGGAAATTCAAACAGGTTTATCCAGTCCTAGCCTGACACCCTTACTCTTACACCACCCTGTCTAGTTCCTTTCCTGATTCTTCATTTTTCCCATGCACGTACTTATTTCTCTGTAGTCCGTGCTGAGTCAGAATCCTCTCTGCCCTTTCTTCCGTCTTGTGCTGAGACCTGTTTTTTAAGACTCTTCCATGATGCCACCTTTTTTTTTATGGCTGATGAATTCCTCTTGGTGAAACCTTCAGCATATACCCCTTGTTTCCATACTCTGTGGTAGCCTCCTGAAAAGAGGAGCCAGGATAAAAAACAAACCACTAATGTTCCTGTATGCCACGCTAGATGTTTGAGAGATACACTTTCTGAACTTTGAAAATCTGTTGGTTTTTGGAGCAAGGCCTTCTGCATATTCCATCGCTAAGAGTGGTATACTACATGGAGACATGAGGAGTAGTCTCCAGACCTCACTTGGAGGACTGTGTACAATGCTGGCCACCACAGTTACGGATATTGAGAAGCTGGGATTTATGTTGAGGAAGCTAGCTTGTTTATTCTGGGAAAAGGGAAGATTGAGAGGTGATATAATTGCTGTTTTCAGGTATCTGAGGAACTGTCACATGGAATGTTTTGGTTAAACATAATGAACAACCTGGTGGTGAATGTGCCATCACAGAAGGTGGTTGAATATCAGACGTTCTCAGAAGGTATCTGAGGAACTGTCACATGGAATGTGCTAGGTTCTTTGTTCCAAAGAGCAGAATTTTGGTTAAACATAATGAACAACCTCCTGGTGGTGAATGCTGTCACAGAAGGTGGTTGAATATCAGACTTTCTCAGGTGGACATCTGCTAGGAACAATTTAGCTGTGGATTGTGGTTTGGCAGAAGCTTGCTTAGATCAGTGGTTCTTAACCTTTGTTACTCAGATGCTTTAGAACTGCAACTCCCAGAAACCTCAGTCAGCAGAGCTGGTGGTGAAGGCTTCTGGGAGTTGCAGTCCAAAACTCCTGAGTAACCCAAGGTTAAGAACCAGTGGCTTAGATGACCCTTTTTACCTTTACCAGATGAAAAAGAGGACAAGCCTCCTGTAGCTTTAATAATTGCTTATCTGAAATTTCAGCAGGTCAGCTTTTAACACAAGCTACATCTGCTGAAATTTCCTCCTCCACACAACTATTAAAGGCATAGAAGGCTTGTCTTCTGATTTAATTGGCCAACTTACGCCTCCAGCTAGCTCTACAGCTCTGTGATTTGCTAAAATATCTCCAATGGAGATGAGCTCCTTCTCCAATTCCAAAGGTAGGCTGTTCCATTGTTGAACAGCTCTACCACTCATTTCCCCTGATGTTTAGATGGAGCCTGTTTCTCCACAGTTTTCCTCCTTGATTCTTGTTTCAAGGCTGACAGAGGTATGAGATCAAATTATCTGCCATGGGGTGGGGCAAAGAAAGTGAAGAAATATGTTGATCTAGCTACAAGGCCTGCCTGGATCTCTAGCAGTTCTCCATTATTTCAGACCTGGTTTCAAAAACTCAAAGTTGCTTAGCATAGTGAATCAGAACTAGAGCAAGCGCATTGAATCATTGAGGTTTTGATGTCAACTATTCTGTAAGTTCCATTGATTTAAATGGGCCTACTCTATTTGCAGCTTGCTATGCTAAGCAGCATGTAAGTTCCATTGATTTAAATGGGCCTACCCTATTTGCAGCTTGCTATGCTAAGCCGTTCAGCCATGAGATGGGCCAGCGCCAAAATTTATAGGGCCAACTAGTCTTGGGATGCCTTATCCTGAGCATTCAAAATAAAGTGATAATTTGTTGTTGTTGTTTAGTCGTTAAGTCGTGTCCAACTCTTCGTGACCCCATGGACCAGAGCACGACAGGCCCTCCTGCCTTCCATTACCTCCCAGAGTTGGGTCAAATTCATGTTGATGGCTTCAATGACACTGTCTATACCAGATGGGCAGATATAAATCAAATCAATCAATCAATCAATCAATGAATCTCGTCCTCTGTCATCTCCTTCTCCTCTTGCCTTCACACTTTCCTAACATCAGCGTCTTTTCCAGGGAGTTTTCTCTTTTCATGAGATGGCCAAATTATTGGAGCCTCAGGATTTGTCCTTCCAGTGAGCATTCAGGGTTGATTTCTTTCAAAATGGATAGGTTTGTTCTCTTTGCAATCCAGGGGACTCTCAAGAGTCTTCTCCAGCACTACAATTCAAAAGCATCAATTATTTGGCGGTCAGCCTTATGATAATCAGTATTCATCACAAATCTCAAATTAAATTAACTACCAAGATTTGTCTGATAACAACTTAGGTTAATTTGTTTGTGTCGATACATTTCTGATTTTATGATATCCACATCATAAATAATGCATAATTTCCACTATGTAATAATCTTTTCTTCTCTTTCTAAAAACTTTACAAGTGGCAAGCAGGTATAAAATCCAAAGCCTTGACATATTATGATGGGCTTTCCCTTACTAGCACGGGGCAAAATGGCAGAGGACCTGATGAATCAGTACTAGACTAGCTGTGCTAAATTCAAACTCTTCCCTGCCAAAGGATGTTGGAAATTATTTAGCATCGTTGTTGCTCTGTTCTATATTTGTACTAGCGCTGGGGCTGTATCCCTGGCCTCAACAGAGCTGGATCTGTCATAACTCAGCTCCTCCTTCTCCTTATTCCACCTTTCTGACCTCTTCTGAGATCAGCTGGTATCTGATCCTAATCCCTAGAGCTTACACATCTTTGAGTTCACAATGCATTGCTCAAAGCAATGTGTTGCACTGAAAGGCTTTTTTTAAATTGTCTCGAACACAAATGCTACAGTTTTCCAGAAACAATTTTATGTAAAGTAGAAGCAATAATTGCCAGAAATAATTCAAATAAATCAAAATGACAGAACCTTAAGGGTGGGGGCTGGATAATGTTGGTTTTCTGGGTGGTCAAGGACTCCCATCATTCCTCACCACTAGATACATTGGGTATGGCTGACACAAGCTGGAATCAAAGAGCGTGTGGAGGACCAGAAGTGGACACCTCTGCTCTACCGTCAGTCCAGGGTTCCAATAATCCTAGTGAGCTGTCAGTGTGGTGCACAGAATGATGGACTAGGACTCAGGAAACCTCTGTCTGAATCCTTATATGGCCGTGGAGGGCCTGGCGTGCTCTGGTCCATGGGGTCAAGAAGTGTCGGACATGACTTAACTACTAAACAACAATGGCCATTGAAGCTCACAGAGTTTGGAGGTAATGGCCATTCTGTCTACCACAAAACTCTTACAAGGTGTAGGAGAATATGTCCTCCTTTCGATGTGCCATCTAGTTGGAAGTGACTTATGGCAAACTTAATAGTGCTTTCAAAGTAAATGAGGTATTTAAGGAGTGGGTTTGCCACTCCTTAAATAACTTAGTTTCCATGGACTTGAAGTGCGGATTTGAACCCAGGTCTCCTGAGTCCCAGTCTTTCACTCCATCCACTACACCACACTGAGTATCCCTCACTCTGGGCTAGTACATAATAAGTGTCCCCATTGTATCTGTGAAACAGATGAGGCTGAGAAAGAGTGTCAGGATCGAACTACAGTGACTCAAGAAAGCTCAGGCTCCAGAGAACTCTTCGCGTAGACCACCCTGGGCTTAATCTGGAGTTTATTCCTGAAATGTGCAAAAAGAGAAGTAGCAAGTTAATCTCTTTCAAACAATCGTATACTGTATTGTGTCACCTTTCAGAATAAAAAGTCCCCCCCCCAGTAAATCCATTACCACCCAGAAAGTATTGCGGCACCTTTGAGAGGTAAGAATTTTATTCTGGTGTGAGAAGTGAGCTCTCCCTGGCACAGACTGGGTTGGTATTGAGAGTTTATTTCCTCCAGGATTAAATGACTGGACTGTGGACTGGACGTGGAAAGGCATTTTGGGGCTTCTGACACCTGGCAAATGAAAGGCAACCCCAACGCGACTGACTGACGGGGAAGCGAGGCGGTCCCTTGCGCCCTGCGCCGGCAACTCCCATCCGCGAGGCTCCAGGCCGGGTTTCTCCTCCGCCTCAGCACCGTCGGGGGTGGCTTGTTGTGGGTTTGAATGCGAGAGCGCAGGTTGTGGCGGCAGCCGGCGGAGCGGAGCTGGTGTGGGCGCGAGAGTTTCCTCCTTTGCCCTGCGGGAAGGAAGGAAGGGCCCCGGCGGTGCCGCTTGGGAAGACGGGGAGGAGACACCTGGAACGGGAGGTGAGTGCGAATCCCACCTGCCGCTGCGCTGGCTTGAGCTGAGAGTCTTAGCCAGCAGTCGGAAGCGCGCGTGTGAACTTTGGGGGGGGGGAATCAACCTTTCCTTGACCTCCCTGCACCTTCCAGATATGTGGGGCTACAGTTCCCAGTATCCTTTCTCAACATCACTTTGGGAGGTGGCCACTGTATCCAGGAAGGATGATGCAAAGCGGCACGACCTCCATTCAGGCTACAGGTCGTGCGTGCCTCTCCGGGCAAGGATCCTTGGGAGAGGAGAGGAGAGCCGGGCGCTGTCCTTATTGCACCCCTGAATGGGGCAGACTCCATCGGAGGCCACCCACCTGCGCGTGTCCCCTCGGGACCAAGAGGAGCTCCCTTAATTTCTGGGGAGCCTCCCCGGGCCATGTGGCCGAAATCCTGGAGCGCGGGGGGGGGGTTGCGCGCGCGTGCGGATGCTGCAGCACAGCCTCTGGGGGCCGAGAAGGCGCTGAACGCCGGGCTTCAGGTCTCGTCCTTGTCTATAGGATGTTGCCTTTCTGATCCGTAACCCCACGAGGTGTGTTCGTGCCTTACTGCCGAGAAGACCAATTGCACCCGTTGCCCCTCGTTCCCATGCAAGTGTGCCTAGCCCCGCTGCCGTGGGAAATATTGAAACCGGTGTTTGCAACCTCTCTCTCTCTCTCTCTCTCTCTCTCTCTCTCTCTCTCGCTGTGTGTGTGTGTGTGTGTGTGAGAGAGAGAGAGAGAGAGAGAGAGAGGAGACGTTAAGGTCCCTGCAAACCAGGTCTTGCAAAAGTCGGGAAGGGGAAAGGGGGGAAGGGGGTGGCTGCGGCTGTTTATTGTCTTCCATCTGTTTTCCCAGCTCGTCCCTGATTCCAGCCAGGAAAAGGGTCATCGGGCGGCCTCTTGGGACAAGGGGTCTCTCTCTCTAACCCCCCCTTCTCAGCTTTCCTCTGGGCTTAATCAATTGGCGTGGGCTTCTCTCTGTGAAAGGATCGACGGGTGGAGCCTCTCCCCGCCCCTCATCCCAAGAAGAGCCATTCTCTTTAGCAAACCCACTCCCTACTCTGAGCCCTCCCCTCGCCCCACAATAAGGGGGAGGGGAGGTAGCCCTAAGCTGGCCGATGTCCTGAAGAGACACCCCTCAAAGCCAGGGTGTGATAACCGTGCTCAGGCTCATTCACAACCCAAGAGCATCTGTCTTGCAGAGACTGGCACAAGCGCTCGCTTAAGAGAACTTGGAAAAGTTACTTTTGTTGGCCTGAATCTAGTTCCTGACTCCCAGCTAGCGCCGATCCATTGCATCAATTACGGAGTGGTAAAGAAAACTTTGTAGAGCTGGTGGAGTCAATGGGCCGACTCTAGCTAGGGGCAATGGGATTGAGGCTATATAGAGAACTCCAGAATCCTTCAGCCTGTATTGTGTTGGTTGGCGGATTCTGGGAGCTGAAAGTTACTTTTTCAAACTCTTTCATTCAGCATTTGAAGTTTACATAAGGTTTGTTAGTAGAGTAGGTTTCCTGTCAGAGAACTCCAGGTTTCTCAAGTTTAAATTTAGGCCAGTGGCCTCAAATTCACCTTGGATCTGGGAAAACTGAACTTAAACCTTATCACTGTCATAGCACCACGAGTGATTGGAAGAATCAATGTCTCTTAAACTCAGTTCTCCATCAGTAAAATAAGGAGTAAGTGAGCTGTGAGTATTGTTGAGCAGGGTAAGCATGTGATAAATTTTGTAGAGCATTGATAGAAGTGCCATATGAATGATTATCAATGCAATTCTAAGATTGCTTGCTTGGAAGGAGAACCCACTGATTTCAACAGAAATCACAAAAAGGACTGATGTATCTAGCTTTGGATGTTTGCATGCTCCATATAAATTCAAAGCTGTTGGTTACAGGAATGTAAACTATATGTAAAGAAATATTGTGACTTCAGAAGAGTATGGAAATACTACCCGATAGTCCATGTATGAAGCAATTCTATTGATTTCTCCATCAAGTGCAGCTACCACTGACTTCAGTAGGATGCCTAAGAGGCAATTGGTATATATCAATTTCCTTAACATTGCTTCAAAGTGGGAAAAAGTCATGAATATTTTCCCTTTGTGCATGCATGTGAGTGCGTGTATGTTTTCTACTAAGATGTATGCAAATGAGTGCATAGATAAATATGTTGATACAGGATCTGATTGCTTTACATGTATATGTCTTAGTATTTTGATATAGCTGCTAGAATTTGGTTCTATGCAACTTTTAGCAGCACAGACTGCAATTTTAGAATATTTCCCTTACATGCTTACTCGGAAGAAGATCTCTTATAAGTGTGCTTTGGATAGCAACTTTCCCTTTGCATCTGTTTTCTTCTTAACTTTCATACTGAAGCTATTGCTTTGTTTTTTTAAAAAAGCAATGTAAGTTCCAGGAATGCTTTTTATGGCACTTGAGAAGTCCATATATATATATATATACACACATGCTTTTATATAGATGCCTTTATTGAAAGTATGTGCTGCTGAATTAAGTGAGACTTCTAAATAAACATGTGGAATTGGTTGCAAAAATAATACATTGTCTTTTAAAAATAGCAGTTTAAAGCAAGCTTCTGGCTTAGAATTGACTGTCCATTCAAAAGGGAGCTATTTGGGGGTGGAGGGGGGCTTTTCTTGGCTATTCAGTTTCAAATAGGTATTAAATGAAACTTTGTGTAAACAGAGCCAGAAGTGATGGGTTTGATTGATCTACAAGTGTGGCTGTGTGATCTTTTTTCTTAAAGGAAACTAAAAAGTTACTAAGAGAGTAAATGTAATTTCAAAATTCCCCTTTCCTGCAAGGTTGTTGTTTTGCACCTTCAAGTTGCACTGAACTTATAGGGACTTTAGTGGAGTTTCCAGATCCACTTATGTATTAAACAGATGAGTTATGGGTGGCAGACACAGAGCAAAAGGTTAACCTTTTGAAAGTGTCTTGATGGCTTTTCCTTTTGGCATCCCCTCTCCTCCTGCCTTTCTAAAGCTCTGGAGAGCTGAAGCTGAATCCAAAGAGAGCCATTAAAGGAAAACACTTCCTTGTCTTTCTAAACCAAGCCTTGGTCCCTGCTAGCCAAGCTTGTTGACCAAACAGCATTACATTTGGTGCATGTCAATATGCTTAGCTTCTAGTGTCAATAGTTTTTGTTCTTGGCTAGGCTCTGCCTTTGTTCTTGTTTCTTCCCAGTAACCAGTCACTGAAATGATCAAGCAAGTGCACTTTTGTTGTTGGCTTTATTTTTTTTTAAGTTTTGCATCAGTTGGCATAGATAAGCATCACTGCTTCTTGTAAACTTGTTGGGGACTGTACTGACAGCTGGCGATTGCCAGGGCGGTAAACTTGAGCACAACCAGCCTTTTTGATTTTTGCTGGCAACCCTGGTGGGACTGGAGAGCAAAATGTATTCTGATCCTGAATGTGTGATATTCTAAATAAATTGGTGTTTCCTCCAGCTACAGAAGGACCTTCTGTGATTCCACTAAACTTGTAGAAGAAAGTTTAGTGTCTCTTTGGCACTGCTAGCTTCAGTGAGAAGTTCAATTTATATTGATTGAATTTGTGCCTAGTTACTGGCTCTGTCTTTCTGATTCTCATTGAATATTGGGTTTCTGTTGCTTGCTGGAAATAAATTGCAAAGAGCAGAGAGTTTGGGGGGAGGCTGAGACTGCAGCAACAATTGAAGAGTTTACTGGTATCTTTATTTAGAGCTTTGTAATCACTGAAGCCAGTATCCAGACCTTTGCTACTTTTACTAAAGAAAACTTTTGTTGGAATCATTGAAATCATTTCTGTCGTGCTGTATTATTGTGTGGTGTGATGTGTTGTCATGCTGTTTTAATAGAAAAACTGGGAATAAATATTAAACTAATCCGACATGTAGCCAGAATTTGTGTGTATTCACTGTTTTGCATTACAGGGAGAACCTCTTCAAAAAATTCTCTCTCCACTTGAAGGGTGTGATTGCAGCGAGGGAGGCAAGAACCTTAGAGAGTGTCTCACATGTTTAGCCTATTACAGGCATTCAAGAATGTTTGAATGCCTATAAAGTGCTAACTGTGCTGTGGCCAAAATCCTCTTGCACAGCTACAAAAATGGTGTGATGTCTGGGGGCACATTGCCCCAAGTTAAGAAATAACTGTTGACATTATCAAGTATTTGCTGAGTTGCACAACAGAATATGCAACAGATAACGCCTGCTTTGATCTCTTAATACAGTGTGCCTCTAGATGTTATTCTAGCATAGCTGGCATGAGGATTTGGGCGACTGTTATTCAAATTTGTTCAGAAGTAAATTTCACTGAAGTCCTATTCAGGTGTGACTTATTCTGCTTTTATTTATCAGACTAGCAACTGAAAACCTATCCTCTCTCCATCATTACTTTCTCTTTTTGGGCTCTTGCTTGTCTGGATAACGTATGTTTGAGCAGGAACCTCTCTTCTGAAGATGTGGAGACAGCCATGATGGAGAACGGTTGTGTTCTCCCCTGGTTACCTGACAGATAAAGACAGGGTAAGCATAGCTGGCTGGATAGCTCAGTGTGTTGGGTACCTTCCTGTGCAGTCAGTGATTCGTAGTTTGATTCCCCACTGCACTTCCTAGGAGAAAAGCCAGCCTGTATAGCTCTGAGCAAGCTGCATAGTCAGGGTGCTACCAGCAGGAGGTTATGATAAATCATCTCTATACCTAGAGAACTGTGGAAAGGATTGCCATAAGTAGGAATTGATTTGATGGTTAACTATTATTTATTGTTGTTTTTATGTATATGTACACTTTAAAATATTTCTGGATTTCTCATCTCTTTTATCTCTGTTAGATTTTTTTCTTTTCATATGCCAAAGTTTACCTTAGCATGGAAGCAAGGAAAATTCAAGGATTGCAGAACTATGATTGGAATCCTGATAGAGCTATCCAGGCAGCTGATGCCAAGTCAGAAATTTTGAAAGAAACTCCCTTTTGGATGTCAACAATTGT